TGAAATATTAGTCAGATTTGAACTACCCTATTCGATTGGCACGAAAATATGAAATGTGCGAGTGGCTACAAAACTGGCACAACACGGGTCAACTTTGCTTTGTCAGAATCTTGATCTCGACTGTACGGAGATATCAAAGTGAGTGCTCCATATTTACATGGGGTTTTGAACTGTAACAACCATCCTGAAGATTGTTCGGTGCTGTTCACAATCCTAACCTTCTTAAGGCCTAAGCCCATCTAGTTTCTTAGCTATACTCCCGCGAAAATGGAGAAAGGTATATCGGGGAGAGTATTTCAAAATTACCTTGGCACTCATGACGTCATAATAACGTCATAAAAATCCTGCCATTCCATAAGACATGCGGTGATGAAGACCAAGAAAAACATATTTGTCGAGGCGTTCCGATCTGACGTTCGTGAGGGGCCGGGAACGGCCGCGATTTCCATATATAATGGCCGTCAATTGGCTCTCGATCAATGTCGTGCAATGTACGATGACGTAATCAAACCATAACGCAATGGGTAGCACATTTACTAATCGGAGAAACTGTGCTGCCTAAGCCGTTTTTTCCAGTTCAAGTATTCTTACAGTTATAAGTGAGCTTGTTCCATCACATTTGATCCTTGCTTCAATGTCTTCCCATGTGAAATATTCCCTTTAAGGACTCCGCGAACGTGGATCAGAATGGGCTAGCAAGCTGGATTAACATGGCTAAGCCTTTCCAACAGGAGATGTTCGATATTCTGATTAGTGATGAGTGATGCAAGTTATGTAACGTAGTTTTGAACATGGGCGCTTGCAAATCTTAGCGACAACACCTTGATGTCAGGCGTTGCAGTCTCCATGGCCCGCGCCGCGTCGATTCCGCGACTAACACTAAGCTGTGGCCAACGGGTAGACGAAAATGATGACGCGTTTGAAAGAAACGCCTTTTAGCGCTTTAGGACAACAAACATGCATTAAGAAGAAAGCTGGGTGTATATTTCAGCAATGCGATTTTCAGGCTGATGAACTGAACGGATTAGTCTTTACAGCACGGCGACTTGGTGTAAAGCTGGAGGAGCAAACACAGAATCTCTATTTTTCGCGTTGCGTCAGGTATTAATCTGTTTAGAGGACAGCCCCACAGTTATAAACAAAAATACACCGAGCCTTATATTTGAAATGCATGAATTCATTTTCAAAGATATTCGGGAGCATTACTCAATGATGGTCGCTCTCACGCGCACGGCACCCGCCACCTCATCTTACTTGCAGTGGCCAACGCCGTTCGGTTTTACGGAAGCTGCAACCCTGGCTATCGCTGTCCTTGCTTCCGAGATTATGGGCGCGTAGGCTCAAACCTTTAGATAATTTGTTTCACTCGTCAATTCTGTAAAACGATAAACATTCCCAGGCAAGCATGGGATCGCCTCGTTCTTCTTTAATTCATTTCGACTCATATACTGAACACTAATGAGACCCCTCATTTCTCTCCGGGAACGGGGCTCCCTTGAGAAGAACACAAGGGGGTACATTAATGTTCCTGGTCAAGGGCTGAAGGGCTATGCCGGCCCACTGCAGAGTGTTTTCCGACTGCCATTCTGGCTACACGAGGAGGGATCCCCTGGCCGATCTGGAGGCCCTTCGAGGGATGCATCATATCACATTGGTCCACTCCCTGACGCTGAGGGCCTTCTGGTTCGCGTAGACCACAGTTGCCCCTGGATCGACGCAGGGACCCCAATTGACGCACAAACATCCCTGATCGCCGCAGGTGGTCTAATAAATGCCGCACAGGCTCCAGTTCAGCTTAACGGGCGATGCTGAACTTTGGTTGGAGGGCCCACCGTTCGGTACTGGGGGACCTGGCCAGCACAGGACCCTTCCATTGCTTCAATGTTAACAACCATCATAAACTCTCATGCCTCCTTTCATTGACACACTCAAGATTCATTCAATATTCATTCTCCGACACACGCAAAAGGCCCTCTGTCATTCGTGGTTTCGTCCCCGTCCATGTTGAGCAAATCTTCCCCTGACAGATTCGAAGACCCATGTTGACACGGAATACCCTGTTAGGCACTGCGGGCCCCTTAACAATACAGGAGCCCCGCATTGCTATAGCGGCCCCGACCAATGTAAATCGCGGGCCCGTCCGTGTCCCTGCTGGGGAAATGGGCCCCCAGAGTTCAGACCGACTCGGAGCCGACTGTTCGGTGTTTGTGATCTCTGGCCGAAACAGAGGATGCTTCTTTCTCAGGGGTCCACAACAGGTGCAAGAAGCCCTCGTACTGACATTCGAGATCACGGCCCTAGGGGCCGTGACCTCAAAAACCTTTGAGGTGGCCTTTAGCCAGCCCTTTGAGTCGTTCAACCTTCTAATCGTGCCCTTGATCTTTGATTTCAAGAGACCCTTCGGCCGCTCTTAGGCCCCCTCAGACATCGCTCCTGGCCGACTCGGGACCATTTGCCACCACACAACCCCTGTTAGGCACTGTGGCCCCTGACCGACACAGGACCAACACCTGACCGATATTGCGTCAGGCACCCCGAACATTGCAAACGGCGGGTCCCGGCCTGGTTCCTGCTTGGGAAATGGGTCTCAATTGCTAAGCCGGACATGGGGCCAACTGTTTGACTGCGTGCTGTTTACTCCCTATCATTTTTGTGTAGCGATAATAACCTTAACAGGAGCGCCCTTAAAGAAGCTCTCTGACTGAAAGCTCAGCTCACGACATTACGGGTGGAGGGCTTAGCCCAGGTCCGATCAGGGCCCTGATCTTTGGTCTCGGGGGGGGGGGACTTCGATCTTTCCTCGGACCTCCTCAAACAAAGCCCGTGACCGACTAGTGGTCACTAGCTGACACATGATCCCCTGTTAGGCAGTGGTCCCCTGACAGACACAGAGCATTCTGCTTTGTTTCAGGGACACAGACCAACGCAAATCATGGCCGCCAACCTTGCATCTGCTTGGGAAATGGACCCTCAAGGTTCAGATTCACAGGGAGTCAACTGCTCGGTGTTCGTGGCCTCATATGTCGGCGAACGGATTTCTCCTGGACTTAGCCCACTTTCTTCCTCAAGGAGGGGGTGGGGCTGGAACTAAAATGTGTGTTTGGGGGGGGGGAGCAGCATCCCAGGGGAGTAGGAAATAACCCTCCTGCAGTGACCCTTGCGGCTAAATTGTTGTGGCAGGCATGGAGGTAAACACGCCTCTGGGATTTTGAGGGACAAGTCATGGTTACGGGGGAGGGGCGACTTGGAATCTGGCGCTGACGATCTAACATGAAAATGTGATTTTAATGTGAAGACATGAAAAACGTCCCCTTTTACGGGAAAAAGCTAGGCGAGGGGTGAAGTGGTGGAAGATTCAGGTACAGAAGTGGTAGCATTTTCGAGTTCGGTGATCTTCAGGATTTAAAAATGTTATTCTGAAGTAATATAAATCATTTTTGGTACACCAAAAGGCTTCACATCTATTGAAACGATCTCTCTAGAGCTTAAAATTACCATACACGGACAAAGCGTCGGAGTAGGGGGTCTATACTCTGAACAGGGTGTAGACAAATGCTATTTGAGATGAAATTGTACATAATGAGGGTCAAATTCAACAGCCTTTCCCAAGAGCTGGCACTGCCGGCACGACAGCGCTGCCTCATGCGCAGCGACGTGCGACACGGGCCAACTTTCAGACAAGGTGAGCTGTTAATTAGTGCGAACGCTCCATCAGTGTATGTTCATGCGTGCTTAAATTTCATAAAAGAGCATGATTGCAACACATTGGTATGACCTGAATCCGCTTGTTCCCGAAGGCACGTGGCTTGACTTGCCCACCCCCTTTCTAGTATCATCTACATGACACACATGTCACCAGCTCGTCAGTCATAAGTCACACAAGGCGCCTTTCTTATACCAAGGCTGGAACTCTATCAACGTGGCTAATCATTGAAACAGCCGCCATAACGCAGCTGGGCTAATGCGTAAGGCAAGTGTAGGGTTATTGACGGCAGAGCTGCACGCGTCACGACCAGCTGATTTCTTAGGCTTTAGGTGTCCATGGATTGCATTGCTGCAGAGTGGCATCATCGAGCGATGCTCCTAAAACAATAAGACGCGTTTTGAACGCAAAGAGCATCAGGTTAGCTATGGCTTCTTTCCTTATAGATCTTGTCTGTAACCGATTTGAGCACCTGCAGCGTATTTCGTCGCTTCACAGAAAAAGGACGGAGAGGTGAAACACACAAAAAGGGAAGTAATAGCTTATATTGCGCGGGGCATAATCATCACGATACCGTCGATTCTAAACACGCAGTGCTAAGTGACACCGTTCTCAAAACCTGCAGTCATCTGAACACTGGCCCAATATGGGCACTGTGACGGTCCTGTCAGCTTCGGCGGCCAACTTCAGTGGCCCCGGGTCGCCGTCCTAACACTACGCTGCTCTGCCCAAGCCTGCCTCTCTACCACATGAGCACGGCGGCATGCCATGGCTTGGTTCAGCACCACGTCACTGGGTCAGCAGCCAGCTGCTGGCCCGAAAAAGACGATAAGGGACTCCGAACCGGGTTGGTGCGCGGCGGCATCTGAGGCACTGCTCGGGAACAGCAGGCCGCGCGAAATTAGGTCCTCCCGAGGTTAAATAAATAAAAGGGGCAATAAATTAGGTGCCGCATGCACTGGACCCCTCGAGCATGTCCACACAAATGGGAGCAATGTGTTAAGAGGTTATACATTTGCAATGGTACACTGTTCTGAGAAGATTATACGCGTTACACATACGCCTCATTGAGAAACTCACTAGGAAGCAACGCACGTAGCATGCTAGAACGACCTCACACACCACATGGAATGGCACAGCTACACAACAGCAGGTGTTCGCGCACAGTCGCGGGTCACACGACCTCTCACGCCAGCCATAGCACCAGAACATTGCCATCTTCCCAGCAGAGTGGCACGGTGGGCGCCTAAACTATAAAACGGTCCCGATATCACGTCAGCGCTGAGTAAACGCAGCATCAGCAGCCCGCCCTGTGCTCGCTGACAGGAGAGTCGGCCTTGAACGGTCTGAAGAAGCTGCTCTGCTCGGAGGAGACGGCCGGCGAGAGGGCGGCGGCGGCGGCTGCTGCGGCGGCGGCGCTGACTGCTGGCGGCAGCGGCGCCGGCGGCGGCGGCGGCCGGCAGCCGTCCAGCGACGGCAGCAGGAAGCCGGCCGCCGCCAGGCTCGGCTGCGGTCGCACCGGCAGCGGCGCGTACGGCGAGAAGCGACACTTGGCAGAGCCGGCCAGCGGGCTGTAGTAGGGCAGCGGCGGCGCCGCCAGGCCGGCCACGCCGCCGTACGGGTACGTGCCGGAGGCGACGGCCGCCTGCAGGATCATGGCGGCCAGCGCCGGGTCGGTGAAGCGCGGGTCCAGTGGCCAGGCCGTCATCTGCTGCCGCTTGTGCTTCATGCGCCGGTTCTGGAACCACACCTGGCGGCACGCAGAATATCCGTCAAAATCGACCCACTTAAATCATACTACCAATTCTTGAGAGATGGATAGTGCAGGTGATATGGCCGTATATTTCCAATTTACGGACTGTTCCGATTTTAATTAAGCGTAATGAGATGTTTTTAGGCACTAGGCGACTTCCGTTGTGAGCAGTTGTATGGAACTGTAGAACATACCTGAGGAAGGGAAGCGGAAAAGTGTTCATGGCAAGTTCAAAAATGAGTCTGGAAAAGTGCATGAAAGCAAAACATATCATGACAACGTGAAGAGCTGACTAACACGGATGATGCCACGGCAATTGATCAGGCGAGTAAACAAGGTGCGAATGGGGCAACTCCCCGTCCCCACACTTTCCCCAATTCTTCGTGGTCGGCCAAGTCTCCCGATGTTCCCTGTTCTTCCGTTCCATGAGGGGTCTCCGACCTCCACCAATAAAGTATCCAGGAAGCTTGCTGCAGAGCATCAACAGTACGCAAATGACGAGTATCGCAGTGACGTCACTGCCGTCTAGCCGCGAAAATGCAAATGTAAACAAACTCGATAAACGTTACAAGCTCAGATTTAAGCAGAGTGGAAAAGTGTCAAATTGTAACGACTTTGGAGCAGTTTGCATTCTGTTCAAATATTACATGAATGGATCTAATTTTGAGTTGGGCCACCACCCGCGTTGTTTATTCACACACATCTTACACTTGACCTTATATGTACAAATGATTTTGGATGTGTCAACTACTGCAGTGCATTTCGTATGCAAACCCCTGGGGTCGTAGCAAACTAATTTCGTTGGCTCTTTACCGAACATGAAATTTTGCAGTATATGACGTTTGACTTGATTTCGCGACTCAATAGCAACGCTGTAATAGACTGATAAGTGTATTCATAATAATCGCTGACCACATGTTAGTCTGCAATGATTCGTCTTCCAATTTTCGTAGGCAAAAATGAGCATTCGTTGGTAGCGTCCTGTTATGCCACGTTAGTGATGCAGCGGTGACGACGTTCCTGTTCATGAAAGGCTGACTGCCTGTCGATGTATGGTAGTTGAGATATCGTGCCTGAGATCCCTTTTGGGTGCGCACTGCCTCATTTCGTTTTCGATATGGTTCTGGGCCTTTTAATGGAGGTGCGGTGCTCTATGGCGCGTGAAAATTGAGCTCCCTCGCTTTTAGGGGTAAACAGTCGATCCCACTGCAGCCTTACCAGACACACTCAGAGCTACGGCCGCTGAAAAACTCTGCTGCCATCTAGGATTTGCTTTTGCTTACACGCTGGCCAATGTCTGATGACTCAGGCAATAGAGGACACAGGGTTGGCGCCTCGGATCCCAAAAAAACGCGTGTCATTTTTTGTCCAGCGAAACTAGGGCGGCGCGCTGACCAGTGGTGTGGCCAGAAATCGAATGGGTCGCATTCCCCGATTCTGTAACGACGTTAGATGACAACGATAACATTTTTTTAGCTCCTGGTCTTGAGCTAAGTTCGGGGATTATCTTGGTATTCTTTCTCCTTTTATTTAAAGCCGTTCTGTACTATTATTCACAACACCACCAGGTTGCGCTACATCTGGTGTGAAGACGCTAAAACTGCCGTAGAGTTGTCAGACCAAGGCTATTAATGAATGAAATGTATTCTATCTATGGAATCAATTCAGTCTAAAATTATAGATGCGGAAATGCCAGAACATAAAACAGCTAAAAATGACTACGAATAACAAGTGGCTCGTCCAATCAACGATTCAACCACATCATGCGCTCGCCTTTTGAACAAAACAAGTTTATCACTGTATCATTTTTTTTATTCATACTGTTCTGCCATGATCCCTTACCAGTACACAACAGTGGGGGATAAATGGCTTTTGTGAGAGGGTCGATTTGGAAACCTCGCTAGGTTAGCAAACACTGAGGTTGGATGAATCACGAATTTGATGTCGGTGGGCATGGGGCCCACTGCCGCGCCTCAAGCGAAACATGCGACGCTTATAGCAGCACCTAGCGCCGTCCAGACGAAGGTCGTCTGCCGCGGACGTCAGTGGCCGGAGGTTTTTGACCCAATGAGAGGAAACGTCGCTGAATATTCGGGGATCAGAGCCCGCTCTGCTCAACTTGATTAACATCAAGTTTGCGCGTACTGGACTGTTTGGAGCTGCTCAAGGCCTTGACCTGCTTGAACTTTTGTTACATGTGCTCTCAGTTCCAGTCTGAAAGGAAGCAGCGGTGCAGTGGGAACAGTGAACAATGAGCCCGGCACTTGCCGATCAAGCGGTCTTGAGAGGAAGATGCCGGATTCGTAATCGAGCGGCACGGGCCAACAAGCTGCCGGTGAACCGTGTTGTAGCTCCGTGAAGACGTAAATCCCTAAGCCCTATCTAGTAAGAAGGCCAGGGGCAAGGCCATCCCACAAATGGTCCGTTTTTAATAACATTGCGCAGGCTTTTACTGAGGCTTTATCATTCCGGCTAATACTCCAGTGCTGACATCCACGAATTCGGATAGAAGCTCGTTTGTTGGCGAATTTTGATGGTGGGCTCCGTCATTTTTCAGTATTCAGCCTCCTTCCCCACTCATTTTGGAAGCCTACGCTTCGACATATATGCCCTTTACTCCAATGTGGCAGCAGTCTAGTTCCAATCTAGGTACTGCTGCCGTGTGTGTGTGTGTGTGTGTGTGTGTGTGTGTGCATGGGGCAGGAGTGTTGCAGCAAGGCTCGATGGTTTTAGTAAATGCACAGAGTACCTATTCCTGTATGCGCGTACATCTCTCAGTTCATTGGCATAACCTGGAGAAATCTGCTGATGACCTCATCAGGCGGGGCGGATCTGTCACTCGGCCCTGCGTTCACCTGGACTCAGCAGACCTCCCGTACCTTGATGGTGCCTTCGGCCAGACCCAGCTCTGTCAGCGTCAGTGCCCGGTGCCCTATTCCCTTACCTTGATGGTGCCCTCAGCCAGACCCAGCTCTGTCAGTGCCCGGTGCCCTATTCCCGTACCTTGATGGTGCCTTCGGCCAGACCCAGCTCCGTGGCCAGCTCGTTGCGCTTGGGCCGGCTGACGTAGTTGTCCTTGAGAAACTCGGCCTCGAGCCGTTTGATCTGGTCGGGCCGGAAGGCGGTGCGGTAGCGGCGGATGCCCGGGTCCTGGGCGGCGCTGAGAGCGCCGTCGCCGGCCAGCTTGGCCGCCGGCGGCGGCGAGCACCGCTCCGTCAGCTGCTCCGTGCTGTCGCACGACGTCGGCTTCGCGTCCTCTGGAAGCAGCACCACCGCCAGTCAGCCGGACGACGGCGGCTGGCGCGGGGCTCGCGCGAGCACAGGTGGCGAGCGAAATGACAGCGTCTGCAGTCCTCAGAGGGCAGGTGGGAACACAAAGGAAGCGTCCAACTGCAATAAGTGCCCATTAGACTAGGACGAGTGTTCGTGTTACTGGCCTGTGTACCGCCTGGTAACTCGACCTGAGGTCGAACATTAAATGGCCGTATACGAGGCTGCTAAAGCAAACCAGCCATAAACTGTAACGGGAGAGGAGCTGCAGTACAGCTGATTACCGGCTATCACATCCCCTACCGAACAACACCGAACACACGGTGCCAAACCGCGCCCGCCTGGCTGCTAGAGTCGCCTGGTAAGCCGCCTCGCCTGAGAAAAGTGCATGGACAGTGGAGCTGCTGGGACCGCTGCGTCATACATCTTGGACAGATCCATGGATTTAGGGTTAATCTGTGGATTAGAGTAGAATGAATCCCCAAATCCCCAAACTTCATGGATTAGTTTGGGAAGGATGAATAAGGTAGAGGGGCCAAAAGGGTTGGAACATATTGAGCAACTCCATGTTAGGTTATGATATGTTAAATGTGCCCATCGACGTTAAATGTGCGGAGAGATGATACATTGTGTTGTAAATTGTGCCGAGACGCGATCAATTGATGGATATCATCTTGAAAACGTCTTCGTTTTGATGGACTCGACAAGGCCGGATTAGGAGCACATGCAAAACTGATTCACAGGCGGTATAGATTTAAGGTCGATTCAGGTAGTTAGATTTAACACTGATAGTGGATTGAACTATACTGGATGCTGGAGATCCTTTGCATTAATTTCATGCAGGCGAACGTATGGTCTTAGTTTCAGAAGCACTGTAAGTGCCTCCAATCGTAGTGTGTCTCAAATGCCTTTAAGCTCTAAACCGTACATCCCACGCAATTTGCAACCTTCGGAAACTGTGAGAATGATGAACACTTTTTCTGATTACTGGTCACTTCTTGTCCTTTGTGATATATTCCATCAACTCAAACCCCATCGTTCTGGTGGCAATGAATCGACCCTCAGTTGGGAGACAGCTTGGCTTCCATGCGGGAGACCCGGGTTCGATTCCGGTTAGTGCCCGACATGAGAGCGCTCATTTGACCTCTGTGGTCGCAGACGCTCCACAGAGAGCAGCACAGCAGCACGTGCTGCGCCGCCTCTACAGAAAAAGACAGAGACGAAGGTCGAGTTTTCTGGCGAATACGAATGAATGTGGCAAATGGATTAATACATCGATTTATCGTAATAGCTACAGGTAGGCAGCTTTAATTGATTGGATTAAATAATACCTAACACCGCAGCGCGATATATCTTAGCATTAAAGAAGCTTTATCTTCAAGATTGGACCAGCAGGTTTCTGAGTGAAGCTTCACCTTGAGGACAGTGGGTTCCTGGGCGGAACTTTCCATGCACCTCTGAGAGAGGGGGAGGGCTTCGCTAACCCCGCTCCCTGATGTTTCTGGGCCTCGGCAGGGCGTCTATGGACGTTTGTGTGGAATCTACCTTAAATCCTGATATGCTCACGATTATTTGTAAAAGCGTTCCAGTTCTGGATGGACTGGTGTCCAACAACCCGTAGATAATTGAGATTGGAGGAAGTTTCTAAAAAGACCAGTAAGCTGAGCTCATACGTTAGGACTGATAAACGTGATTGCTCTAACTGGGGGTAATGTTAGTAATTCCGTAATTGCGTCACATTGACAAGTTTCCGATGAATCCATTCCGACTAATTATCACCTAGCTAACACTGTTCACCCAAAATACCGAGCTAATAACTAACAATTTGGAGACAGATAATAAATTTCCAAAGCCGAACAAGTTTTTGATCGAATTGAGCTATTCGCATTTGTGATCGATACTGAATCTGTGATAGTCTTGCATACGCTGCGCTTATATCATACGCACAACCATAGGCATATATCGTTGAAAATGAATCAATATTCAATTCATAGAAGACACGTTTTGCATATTGACAACTCTTGCCGCCATTCCCGCACCCTGCTCTGCACCATTTGGCATGTCAGCCTTGGTCCTGTATCGCATAGCATAAGGCAGATGCCGACGACAGGATGTGGCCTATCAAAAGTTGCTATGGAAATAATGGTTACATCAAGATAAACTACCTCTAATCACTGCATTGCTTGCTTGACGCATTACAAACCGGGTGGCTGTCCGAAGGAAGCACAAAGGTACTATCGGGGGAAAATCGCTTTCATTGCATCGTCACCCGGCCACTCTGCGCGGTTACCGCCTCGCGAGGGCTTCTCTATTGACACCGCGTCTTCGTACCTCGCGCAAACATGCCCCATGCCGGCATGATTAGCCCCCAGCGGCAAAACACGATAACGACGTGAAACGACCCCAGGCACTGTCACCAGCGTAACAGGCGTCCTGAGCCCCGACTGCCGCCGCGACAGACTACGGAGCGGCGGCGCGGCGGCTCCACTCGCCTGTCCTGTCGCTGGGTTTGGGCGGCGATCCGCTGCTGTCGGCGTTGACCCGGGGCGGCAGCCGCTCGCCGGGCCGCGCCACCTCGGCCGCCGTCGCCGAGTCGGGCCGCTCCTCGGCCGGGGCGCGCTCGCGCAGGTCGCTGTACGCCTTGAGCAGCTGCAGCGGGTAGGCCGTGTCGGCCGGCAGGAACGGCCGGAACGGTGCCGGCTCGGGCGCGCCCGGCTGCTGCGCCATGGCCCGTCGACACTTCCGGGCCGGCCCGCTCGACCGCACGTCGCGACCGCCGCCGATTGAAGATGGCCCGCCGTCGCGCCGCCAGCGCCCGCCCTCCGGTTAGTATCCAATTACCGCGCGGCCGCCCATTGGCCGGGCCCGGCCGACGCCGCGCCGCCATTGGCCGCCGCCGCCGCCAAGGAGTTATTTGCTGAGGTTGTGCTGATTGAGTAATTGGCTGCCATTAAGCACAGAAATCATCCGCACTTAGGATAAATGGTACACAACGCTGGAGACGGCTGCGCGATGGAGATTAAGCGCACTTAATGAGATGCAGCCGGCCTGGGGGGCTGTTAGAAACTCCAGCTGCCGAGCGCGCGACGTGGAGCGCAGTGACGACATACAGACGCTGAGGGCGGGCCATCACAATACTCACCGAGCATGCAGGCGTGGAACGAGCCCTGCTTGCAGCGATGGCCGCTCTCGATTCCGATGCATTGCAGACACGCATGACTGCACCTAGGTCTCCAGCCAGGCTCGGCGCCGGCCAAACGGAGTTCATCAATACGACGACACGCGTTATTTACGCGCGACTTTAATGCACTCTAGTGGGTCAGGAATATTTCCATGCCTTAGCATATCTTTTGGTTATATGCTTTAGTTATATGCTTTTATTTATGCTTAGTTACATGGCAGAAATAGTTAAAATCCCGTAAGTTTCTCCACTACTGCGTACATTTGAGCACCTGTGCAGGATGTACAAAGATGTAGTCCATGAACAGAACGCTGGCGATAGATCTTTTGAAGGGATGGGCGGGGAACGCTGTGTCTACGTCAGTTCTCTCGTGTAATGTCATCGGGCTCAGGTTTTTTGCATAGATGGAAGGGGGATAAATTCGACTTTCGTCTCGGCCGTTTCCATGCTGAGAGATGTCTCTGGAGCCTCGGCTTTGCAAGTACTAAAATGTTATACTGACCTCAAATCCCATTTTTCCGACGGGGTTAATGTAACAATTTCCAAGAGATGTAGACAGGGGCATCAATCTTTGGGAATGACTGAGGAGCGAGTGATCAACGGCCTTACCTCCCCCAAAATGTGTTTTTCTCAACGGAGTTTGCCCGTTCTGTTTTAAAGAAAGACAATTTTTGAGTTAAATTTTCATTATTTAACAGAAAGTCCCTAATTTGAGCAGCATAGTAGTCATGGCCAACCAGGACTTTTAACATGCTAATTGCGTGAGAAAAAATTCCTGCACCGGACCGAATTCCCCGGCACCCTACACTGACCAGATACCCCCCCCCCCCCCCCACACACACACACACATGCGCACGCTCTCGCTGCCGTCATTTTACATTGCTAGCCCTGGCCTAGCCGCATGATTTGCTACAGTTTCTTGTCGTTTTTTATCGGAGCGTAAAAATAAGGTGGCCTTAATCAAAGGAGAAGGCGGAGAGGTGGGCTCGGTGAATTTATATTCGGGATTCATCGAAATGTCCTCCTTCCCAAAAGTCCTTAAAACGACCTTGTGGCCAGCGAAGGACTCTCAAAGTTGATAGACGTTGCGTGGGAGTTGACATTTTCCTAAGCTTCTGTAATATTTCGGTTCAAACGATCTAATGGGGTGCCCAAGCCAACACTGGGTTGCCCAACCCAACGTTGGGGGGTCAAGGCTCTCACAGGAGAAAACGAATAAATGGCACCTCTAAATGTTGGGAGTGGGGGAAGTTGTTCTCTCTACTTTTGTCCTCTTCCGCTACCCCTGACTGCATGCAAAGATACAGCACTGTATCCTACATACATATGTAATTTTGGCTGCATGCTCACAAACAGAAGTGTCTGAGGAACGCTCAGTAGGCAGCTCCCTCCTCCGAAAAAGGAATATGCATTAGCCCTCATTATACGTTGTGTAACATAGCCAAAATAAACAAAGCTCCTTCTATAGCTCATACTTGTTAGATGTTCGTTGGTCATTACCTGGAGCTTTGCTGTCCATTAGCGCATATTCTTAAGGTTGCAGCATCCTACACTGATCAAGACACATAAAAGAGGTAACACAGGCAGTGAGCAAAACCAGCGAAAAATACCACAGCTCAGAGGCCAGGGCGTGCAACCTTTTTGTACCAAAAATTCCAATTAAGTGGATCTTCGATTTCCTTCCCATACCCGTTGTGCTAAGAAAGTATCATGCTAAGATGTCATTCACAAGACAGAGTTCGCATACGACATGAATCGTGGTCTGACGTGATACACCGCGGTAGTAACACTACGCTGAAATGTGATGGTTGAATACCCCAAAACTGCTGCCTGGTGAAAGAGGTAAGCAATTACCGTTCTCCCTCATTTCATGTCCCAGTCAGGGTGAGAAATCGCTGCGAGGATCGGCGTCCTCTTTCACTTCCACACGCCCGCGCGCCGGCCGCCGGTGGCCGTGTTCACCGCCTCTGGCCGACCACCCCAAGGTCGCCGAGTACCGGACGGAGGGCTGGGCATTGAGGCGGTGGTCAGCAGGGTCAGGGTCATCCGACCTTGACCCTGCCAAATGCCGGAGGGCACGGCGCTGAGTGCGCGGACACGTCGGCCGAAACAGGCCCGTTTACGGCGGTAGGCGACCTGGCTGAACCCGCCCCCGTTCCACGACAGTATGGGACAGAGAACAGCACTGGTTCGGCTCGGTCACGAATAAAGCGTGAGTGTGCTCAGGTATTCAAGGGTTTTCGTCACATAGCGAACAATGAAGGTCGTAATCTGATTCCACAACTCAACTATTTCGACATTATCAGATCACCAGGAATATTTTAGGTTCTATCTGGATTTGACGCGTGCAATATGTGGGGATATAGTAGACGAACGGCTCTGGTTTTCCTGTCTGTCCCTTAGCTAGGCCCCAATGCCTAAATTTCTTTTTCCCTGCTAGCTCGGCGCAGCTCTGAAAGCTCCTCAGTCGTCGCCATATACAGGTCGGAAAGATCGGCGACGCAATTGATCACCTCATACTTCTCCCTTCCATGATGGTCTCTCAGAAGTCAAATCGCTCCATCCAAGCGACGGCACTCGCCATAGCTGGGCGAGCGAGTTATGAACCCAGTCGCTTTCAGCCGCTAATCTCATAAAATTATTGCCAAATTATTCGTCCAATTTAGCGATCCCATCTGCGCTGGCAGCATGTTCATTTATTTTATCGCGGGGCGGACATAAATAGTTGAGCGTGCCGCTTTTTGCCGGGCGCCGCCGTCGGTAGAGATCTGACAAACGGCCGACAATGGGAGGATCGTCGGCAGAGTCGGCTCCGACGCGGGCAGCGGGGAGGGGGGAGGGGAGGGGGCATTCGTCCGAGCCGCGCTATCGAGTCGACGAGGAGGACTCCCCCACCTACGGTCTCAAGATTAGATGTGGGTTCAAGCTTACATACAGGAAACGAAGGCCTCCAAATTGCTGTTTTCATTTATTGCTGCTGGATTGTAATATCAAAAGAATCAATGGGCACTCAGAGGGCCGCCTTTATTGTGCCTTAGAACTGTTTGAGAGGATTGGGAGGAAAAGCCTAGAAGTATCAAATCATATTTATTCGGGGCATGGGCGAGCATCTGACAGTATCGGTGGAACTTTTCAGCTCGAGGCAGAATTTCAACAGTGATCAATTATTCATCTTCAAAACCCAAGTAGAACATTTCATTAACGCTATCTTCCTCTCTCCGCCGAACGAATGACCCAACTCCAAAGATTCGAGATTATCAGAGACTGACGTGGGTACGTGCATGTATCAACAACGATGTTTATGAACACCATATATTTACAATACAATAAGACTACTACTAATAGATGTGATGCATAGTGATGCGACACTATCGCACAGCATAGCGTGAGACTGACTTTCTCTGGACCGTTATTTTGCGCGCTGCACGAGATACCACGCGTAGCCCTGCTTAATGAACATGACCTTCAATGGCTCACTAATCTTAATTCGTCTTTAAAGAGTGCTTTGGTGTTCAACCTAGAGACCTTTTTCTTTGCAGACACACTACGCACACTGTACACTGAAAATTGCACACACTCCACTTTCGGCAATCCTTGCAGAACAGTCTTGGCTACAAGCTTGTTGTCAGGAACGCCATCGTCGCTCGCATACATGCGGTGGGCGTACCTCTCGGGCCGAATGGTCAGGGACTACTCTCGTGATGCAGAGCAGCGCCACGCCTTTGACGAACGCCACCGGGCCGACGGGTCTGTTTAAAGGCACACTGTGCCTGTGAACCCAGTGCTTCGGACACGCTCGCGAGGAGCGTCACTGGACCGGCGGGTCTGTTTAAAGGCAGACCACGCCTGTGAACCCAGTGTCTCGGGCACTAGTTGGCGCCGCGCTAATCCCGCGGCATGGCAACCCCCCCCCCCCCCCCCCGGCTGTTGCCATCTCCGGGATGGTTTAGGTTTCGGTTCCGGATAGGTTTCGGTCCAGGAAAAGCCTCCCGAAGTCAGGCTTGAACCGGGGGCTTCACCCTTACACTGGTACGCGCGTTAACCCACGGCGCCGCCGAGATGGCCACCAATCCAGACTCTTCCGGATCTATGTCTGAATCCTTTGAGATTTGCAAGGATCTATATCCAGATCGTCAGACCATCCGCGGAGTGCACATGCTTTCAGCTGATGCACGTTTGACCGCTCCAAAGCCCTTTGGCTTAATTGATTTTTTCTCGTCAGAAAAACACGGATCCCTTAAAAAGAAAATGTTATGTCGAGCAGAAAAAACCGGCAGGCGAATGCTAGTTTGTGGTCTCTTTTCTACCATCACCGGATGCCATCGATTTACAACTACTTCACTGGTCCTAACGGGTTCGACTGCCGTCACTAACGGGTCTGTGCTGGACATGCCCGGCCGCGTGCAGCCACACGCGACTGGCGGCTGGCTCGGTTCACACGCCCCTCCCCCTCGCCTCCCGGTGGGTGGCAACCGAGAATCTGTCCCGTCGCAGCGTGCATCGCACCTCCCCGTTACGCTGTGTGTCGCTCCTCCCCGTCACTCCG